ACATTCTTTCCCCGGCCCCCTGCGCAGAAAGTGGTAGCGCTACGAACCTTTTAGAAGTCCTAAGCACCTCCCGGGGAAAACCCATGATTGTACACAAAGAAAACTTATTTCAGCAGCGATCTGAACAGAAAAACAACTTTTAGTTACAGATGTAACCTTCACCAGGAATATGTGATCTATGACGATGTTACAGGCTCTACAGAATAACTTCCCAAATGTCAGCGTAAAACGTTGCTTTACCCAATTCAGCCACTCTAACGGGAGCAGTTATATTGTCCTGTTTTTAAACGGCCGACCGTTTACTACACGAAGGTCCAGCCGGTTTGTCTGCAGTCAGTTTAACAAAGCGGTCCATCAAGTACAATAACAATCGTGAAGCGAATCACAAATCACAAATCAATAACGATCAATAGTATTTGACAAACGACGATCAACAGCAACCCTGATTTCACCTACTGTTTGATTTCTTAATCCATCGTATGTCTACTGGTCAACTTTATGTCATCTGGTCAAGTTGTATATGTCTACTGGTCAACTTTATGTCGTCTGGTCAAGTTTCATATGTCGACTACTGGTCAACTTCGATATACGATTTTGGACTACAGGCCAGGGCTCCCCTTCGCAATACGAGCTCGGAAGCGGGATCTCTCGATACAGGAGGTACGTACCGAAAATGACTCGGACCGAACATTTTCTAAGTCAACATTTAAAAAAAGTTTATCTGAAAACCACTTTTGTCCACGTTTCATGCTACCCTGATCATTATGAGCCGAAAATATTTTTCGGTTTTTGAAGTCCGCACGGCGCACATACCCTTCGAGTTCGATACCAAATTTTGGACTCGAGGCTTCCTCTCGGAAGGCAGGCCTCCCCTTTGCAACACGAGCTCAGAAGCGGGAGCTCTTGATACAGGAGGTACGTTTCGAGAGAGTCGGTATTTTTTAATCCGCTTTGAAAGGGTAAGACCGACACCTCGCCTTCATATACCGTCCGTCTTCCCTGAATAAATAAGTAAAGAGCCATTATCCAGTAGCTCTGATCCTGTACCAGGCATATGGGTCTCAGTTATACCCAGCAAGTCCAACTTATACTCAGAGATATTCTCTGATAGCTAGAAAAACTGAATTGAACTACTGGTCAGAGATAATACATTCCATGTCCCAAATGTAAAACCTGTTTTAGAATAATTCGCTGGCTTTTTCTTATTAGAGTCGGAGTCCACATGGGTGATCTGTGGAGAAATAAATCTGCTACAATGACGTGTTCTCCCAACACTCATCTGGGCGCGGGGGTCCCTTAGGCTTTGTCCCGCCACCTTCATACTGGTATCATCCGTCCTTGCAGATGGAACCACACACCTTTTCTTGATGTTACTATGACGTGATGTTTCCGAGTGGGTAGGGTTCACTCACATGACAGTTTAGTAAGTAGCTGTGTATTATGAAGTATAATATTAAGAAGTGTTCGAGCTCTCCGAGAGCTCGAACACTTCTTAACAAATGCCGAGAGCTCAGCTCTCGGCATGTGTTCACATAACGGACGTGAGCCAGGTCCGAAAGGGGCTGGTTCTCGTATCAGCCACTGCGATCAGCCACTGCGATCAGCCACTGCGATACCATATTTTGGACGGTTATAGTTGGGTTAGCTAGTTAGAATACGATGTCGCGGCCCCCTACAATTGTTAATGATATGGTTTAATTATAATCATACATGGTTTGTTATAGCAGATAGCTGTGGTCAGTTTACTACCGCCCTCATCAGATAAACATTTAACGTGTGGCAGTGCAATTGTTTCATAATCTAGCTCAAACTTAGCTTTGAAACGGTTTTCAAGAAAACAACAATTTCAAAGTTTGGCACCGGTAGTCTCTTAATAAGTTTCACGTCTTTGTCTTTTCAGTCTCGACTTAAGCTCATCGCTGCATCGGAGTTTGTTGTCATACCACCACTATTGTGCACCAAAGAAATATATCCATTATATTGGTTCCGATGTAATGAGGGACAGTCTAAACTTCAAAAGTTTGAGAGCTGGAAGATTAAACAATTGGTTAGCTCCTCGAATTTAGCCCTCGGTGCAAGACCGATGATGATGAAACTTCTAGATAATTAAACAATGTAGTTGAGATTTGAATCTAAAGGATTGTGACATTCAGGGCAAATGAACGAGGACTATTGTTATGCAGCTGTTACGTATAGACTCAAAAACGGCTGAATCCCCGCCTAGAAAGAAAACTCATCTCAACGTTTTCTTAGCTATAAATTAGTAATTACTTCGACTTGGCGATTCAAATTTGTTTACTCAACTTAATCCTCTCGAGCAATGAAACATTTCTGTCCGGATTTGCACAGCACATGGAATGTTTAAAGTATCTCCAGAGGTTCTTAGTTGTCGGGGATATGTAAATGTAATGATTGGCTCTTACCAGTAGTTATCGGAGCTGATTGCATTTCCCAAGCTAGCATTTGGCGGCGAAATTCTGAATTTTTGTGAGATAATTTTGGAATTTGGCCGCCAAATTTTTTTGGAGGCCTAAATCAAAAATCCGTTCTCAAAATAAGGTCGAAATGCGATTGCGAGCCGATTCCAAAAATTTCATGCGAAAATTTTGAAAACTGATTGAGTTGTTACAATTTTAATGAAATCAATTCCACGAATATCGCGAACCAAGATACGGGCAATTTATTTCATTTTTTGTGGTATTTTCGCCTTAGTATCCACATTTAAACAGATATAAAGCTATAACTTACAGAGAATATGTAGTTTAGGCTTATCTTTCGTATAAAGTAAATTTCATTCAAAAATATTGATATTTGACCAATTTATGGGACGAAATCTACCAAATTTGGTGCGTATGCCCAAATATGGGCATATGGTTTTTGGCTCATAACTCAATCATTTTTTGTCCAATCTTGATCAAATTTCATATACGAGTTCAGGAGAACACTAGCTACAAGTAGAGCACCATAAACCTTGGATTTGGGCATGTTCAGAGTATTTGGCTAAATTGGGCCTAGTTTGGACCAAATATGGGCGTGGCTGCCCCGCGGGCACCGTTTGGCGGTTGGGGTCCTGGACCCCTCAAAAGTTTGGTCACTGGTCCTAGTTTGTTGGTCAACTGCTATCTCGAAATCAAGTTTCACAAAAAAATATCCATTGCCCCCCCCCCCCCCCCCCCTTAAAAAACGCAAAAAAAACGCCGGTTCTTTAAAAACGCAAAAAAAGGTTTCCCAACCCTGCAACAGAACACTTTTTAATAGTTAGTGATCGGGAAACACTAAAAATTAGACCAGACACGTTTTCATGTTGAAGATTAGGCAATAAACAGGTGGAAGGATGTACGGCTGTGCTTATCCAATGTAGCAATTTTAGTTAGCTACAAGGTTACTTATTTTAATGTACATCCCCAGTTTCTTTCCACCTTTTGTTTATGTTAGTTTAATCTTCAACATGAAAATGTGTCTGAAGGTCTCACAATAAAGTTTCTATTGTTTTCCATTGATCGCTAATTACTGGCAATGAGTGTTCTGCTGGACCCACCCCTCCCAAATTCTTAAAAGATGTACATTGTACATGCCCCCATTTTGGATGCTTAAGAAGGACAACAATTAACAACATTTAAATAATAATTTTTGTTCAGAACCTTGTCCATCACTCCATTAACAATGGACAAACCGCGCATCAACGATCGTGGAGTGCTCATTGGCGAGACGGCGTGTCACGTGGTGCAAGCAGATGCGTTGTGCCGTCACGCAGTGTGGCGTGACGAGTTTTGAGAGTATACCCGGAAGTGGAGAGCTCACTTCTATGTTGCCCCTTAATCGTTGTAAGGGATCCGATTTTCAATAGCCAGTTTAACTGAGTACTATTCTCTGTGATAGACACGCAGTGTGATTTATATTCACGGCAATCGTTTGGAGCGACAACTTAGAAGTTTTTTGTCTGTTGACGTTCACTTTGTATTACTTTTGCATTTAAATATTTCTCCTTTTTAGTTACTCGTTTCCTTTCTACTATACGGTACGCCCTGCCGTTCGTGCTACGTGACTAGAGCTTGACTAGCAAGGCACGCGATATGTCGAGGTTCTGGGATCATTCCCCAGCTGTCCCCAGTTTTTCAGAGTTAATCATCACCTATAGACAGCATGAGAGTAGGCCCTGCCATCTCGAAGTGATAATAATAAATAAAATGTGTCACAGATTAGATTGGCAATTGATCGGTGTAGTTGGTGTTGTACACACTGCACTGATAATATAATCACGTTGTAAAAGCCATTCGGCGTGAAGTGGTTTTATCTTTAGGTTAACCTTAACATCAGGTGGAGCTTTCCTAGCACTGTTTCATTACCTCCCCTTGAGTTATATGAACTATAACAACGTCGGACAATGTCCTAGGCAACACGATTTACCGTAATATCTAGAGGCTGGAACAAGTTTGTCATGTTGGAGGGGACTAGCTCATGAACTATGGTGTTGTCATAATTTCGTTGACATTTTTCGCCAAGTGACCCTTGAAAACATCATATACTAGTAAAGTTTTCTGTGCCTCCGGCAGACCAAGGAGAACCTTTCCGTCGTTAAAGTTCTCATAGTTGTCATATTCTTGACAAAAAGTTCGAAGTAGAAAAATGTTTGAAAAAGATTCAACAGACTTTAACTTGGATGGACCTTAAATGAACGGACTTTATTTGAACGGACATTAAAATGAAAGTTAGGGCCTCCAGCGTTCAATTAATGTCCGTCCAAATAAGGTCCGATAAGGTATATAGCTGGAAGGTAGCTGAGCTTGCTGAGTTTACCTTATTTAAGAGAAACCTTTTTCTTTTTCCATTTGCATGCCACATTTTCTATGTGGCATGCAAATGTATATCCTTGTATATCCTCATCTAAATTGCACCCCTAGTGCTCCCCGTAAAACCGATCAATTAATAGCCTGAAGGGCCCAATTAAATATATTGCGGCTTGATTTCATGTGTCTTGCTAACCATAATTTATTTTACGTAGACATCATTTCATAAAGTTGCGAGATGAACCTTTCACGTGAGTACAATACATTACAACGCTTTCTTATTCTGCTTATCTTGCATTGTTGATTGTATTCTTGTGTAAATTTGTATAATATTTAGATCATGAATATGATGTTGTATCAATATCATTGAAACGTTGAGTAATTCCTTTCCTGATAAGTGCATTTTTCCTTGTCGCATCAAACGGGATCAATACAAATTTACACAAGAATACATTGCAACTGCATGCGACTCATAAACAATATTCCAATCCGGATTTTACATTGTTGACTGTATTTGTACCATGTCCATGTACAAATTGTAAGCTAAGAGTAAGGTAGGTCAATCAATCAAATTTTTATTTTAATACAAGGAGATTTGTTTTCAGAAGAAGAGATTTATTCCAAAGAAAAACACGGTAGTTCGATCAGGAGAGTAATTCTTGTCGTAGTGATGGCTCTCTTCGGTATGACCTACAGCATGTGCAATTCAATACGGTACGGCTTTCTTGCTGACGCCTTTGAACGGCGTCACCTCCCAGGAAAAGTGTTTGGTCTACTTGAAAGCAGCATAATCTTAGGTTTCGTGCTCATGTACCTTTCTAAAGGTACAGAATTAATTATGAAAAGAAAACGACATAGGTTTATTTTTGCAGCAATATTAATTGCATTCACGGCAATTTCCTTATCAACTGGAGTCGTTTATCTTATAGACAACAACTTGCTGATGCTGGTCCTCTCTTTCATTTTGAGAATCTTACAGGGAGCAGCTACCTTCGCTTCTAATCTTCTTCCAGTAGACTTCATTCATGTTCATTTTCCTGAACAATTCGATTTTGTGAACAGTGTCGCACTGATGGGATGCTTTTGTGGACACGGAATCTCTGAGAGTATTGGCTGCTTATTATATGACAGATTTGGATACGTTGTTCCTTTTATATTCGCAGCTTCCCTGACCTTTTTGGCCGCTATTCTTCTCCTCCTCACATTCCCTGACACAGAAACCTACCTCGCCTCACAAGATACTGATAGGTCTGATAACGCAGTCCTCGATTCTTCTGAAAAATCCAACCTTCCATTAACAAAGGCTCTGATCCTTCCTTTGATGGTGATCATGTTGATCAACGCAAATCATGGAGTTCTACAGGTAAACCTTTTATAGTGTTAACATTAAACAGCGTAAACTCCTTTTCCCTAATAAGAGCATTTTTACTTGTCGCAGTAACCGGGATAAATATAATGTTACACAGAATACATTACAACCATGCGACTCATAAACAATACTCCAATCCGGATTTTACATTAAACAGCTAAGCCAATATCATATATTTTATCATGAGAACCAAGATTTCAAGAATCAGGACCAGGATAACAAATCTATTTCTAACAATTTACTTAATTGCACATTTTGCAGGTTTCCGTTACACCGTTTCTTCACGAGAACTTTGGTGTGTCTATATCGTATGCAGGGCGGTGTCTAACGTTCCTTGCAGTAGGAATGGCATCAGGTGGTTTACTTACGGGAGTGCTTCTTCAATCTAAGAAACTCAGCCATTACACGGTCATGGCAATCGGAACAGGTTGTCTCTTTGTGGGATTGAACCTAACGTTTCCTCCGACCTTCATACCATCCCTCTACAAAGTAGCTCCAAAAACTGCATTTCCTGGTGTTTTCCTAGCTGGATTAGGAGATCCTTTAGTCAGTATAACTACCCTTACAGCACTCTATGACTTGCAGGTAGGAGAACATGGTTACTGAAATCTATATACAAGTGTAATATTTGCTCCTGTAGCTCTCACAGTTCACACTATATGAGTATGACAGATCTTGATATGAGATTGTAAATATAATCATGTTTATACATTATATTTCTTGTGAGCAATGCTCTGAAATATATATAATGGATATATATTAAACTGAACTGTTCTCTCTGTTGCAGGAATTGAGAATGGGGCCGCTTACACCAGAGGTAGTGACAAAAATAACTAGTATCTGGCTGATGGGTTATTGTGCTTTCTATTTCGGTGGACCTTTCATTGCTGGATTTCTCACAGACTATCTTTCATTCTCGGGTATGACCATTCAACATTAAAAAGGACAAGGTCGACTTACGAATATCTTTTAATATTTAAGATTTTTTGTAAATTTGTAAACTTGGTCAGTATCAAAGTATCAACAGTATGTAAACCGTCAAAAATAATTGTTATTGTTTGTTGTTACTAATTTGCACGAAAACATGCCAGCGCCCTCCGTACACTAGCGAATTACACTTTCCTGTAAATTACCATATACAATCTAATTCTAAATTCTACATGACTACAATCTACATTCTACATGACTACGATATAATCTACCACCTACCCTCCTGCTACTAGTGCACTATAAATAACACTTATATAATGTTATTTTCAGATTCCTCCCTGATTTTGTCGAGTTTGTGTGTACTGTCTTTAATGATATGTGTCGTTATGAGGACAATGACTGCCCGAATGAGAATAAGAAATAACAGCGAGAAGAGACATTTGTTGCAGGACAATTTAACGGACTAATATTGAAACTATCTACTTTATCAGACAGTAAAAGTCTACTTTCTACTTTATCAGACAGTTAATGATACTGTCAGCTCGTGTAAAATATTATACAATTTTATGGTGTCGGTCTCAGACCCGCCACTGTTTCAAAATTAATTCGGGAAAAACCCAATATTAAATCAATTTGGATTTTGGTATAGAATTGGAATTTCATGGGTCAGAAGTCAGACCCGCCACTGTTTTTATAATTTAATTCTCAATAAGTGCAAACAACTTCGAAGAATTAATATTTTCAACTTCAAGATACGTTTCCTCCGAAAAGTTTTGTCATTAAAAAAATACTACCGGTACTGTCGAAATGGACCTCCTATTCACTATTAAGGGGAGATACACAAAAAACGTTTTTGCTCCGAACATCGGTTTTATTTTATATTATGGTTAAATAGACAAAAAGAATAAGATTGCACACCTACAAAATTTTCTAAAAATAGTCCCTCATCGAGAAAAAATATTTTTTTCTTTTTCGAAAATTTTTAAAATTTGGAGAAGTCTGTCACTGTAATTCATAATTCAAATTGGTAATACTAATACTGATAGTTCGGCCATTTTAATTGACCATTCTTAATGATCTGGCCCGGCGCGCGCTACTTCGTAGCACTTGCCATCGGGCCATTTCGAGCACTTGCCATCGGGCCATTTCGAGAAGAAAGCGGCGCGCGCTACTTCGAAGAAATTTAGACGAGTAACATCCGTCAACCATTTTAAAAGTTTTTTGGCTGATTTTTTTACTGAACATTACGAACACTCCGTACAAGACAACCCTTTAAAGGATTATATAATTGAACAATCAATGACCAAGTTAATTACAGACCGAACAATTAGGTGAGAAAAAATTGGAATTTTTGCCTACCACCAAAGTTGTACATTTTATATAAACCACTTACTCGCCCAGGTCATCAGATATCGCTTCAAAAATTTTTGTGAGTGTAGCTGATGATCATATCAAACAGCAAACTTTTTGGAACAGGATTTCTCTCAGTTTTGAGTTTTAAGGTATAAAATGTGGCCTCAAACAACTTAGTAAAATTTATCGTAAAAAAGGGCCAAACATGGAAGATTTAAGGCTTAAAATGCCTATAACTCAAAAAGTGTCAGTTTTTTTTGGAAATAATTTTTACAGAATCGTAATCAGCTTGAGAAAACGAATCTTTTAGTACCAAATAGGTAATGTTTGTAGCGCGATGCACTACCATGACTACTGGGTCGCGCCGCGCATCAAATAATTCTTCTCGCAATTCTTCGGTAGATCGGCGAAATGCACCACTGTGCCTCACCGAGCTGCGAAGAATTGACATCGTGAATCAAAGGTGATGTTAGAAGACAAATTGTTTTAAATAATTTTCCAGCTCGAACACAAACAACAAGGGTCCCTCCTTGTATAAATGTTGTACAAATTGTACACATTTTTTTACAAATTTTGTGTCTTTATTCTTTAACTATTATAAATTTGGAACTAAAAGATGGCAAGTGCTGCGAAGTAGCGCGCGCGCCGGGCCAGACCATTAACAATGGTCAAAAACACTTGTGATTGAATCCAATTGCCGTAGAACTTAATTTGTATCTGTAATTTAAGAAATTGTAAGCAAAAATTAAACTATACGTATTGTTGTATTACGTGGTGAACCCCACGGTCGCTTCACTATAGAGTTTCGACGATACAGCTAGGAGGAGCCGCGCACTCGTGCGCGGCGGGTCATACAACGTATGACAATACGTATTGTATATAGCGCGCCCCAAATTTTGACAAACAGAGGGAATAGATTTTTGTCAAAAATTTGTAGTGCGATGCAAAACTAGGCCACGCCGCGCATATTCTCGCAACCACAACCTTCCGTAAATCGGCGAGATGCATGGCCATGCTGGGCCTCACCGAGCTAGGAAGGATTGACATCGTGAATCAAGTAGAAAATGCAATGTACTGTTGACTGTGCAAGAATGTTTTGTAGACCATAGGGCATAGACGCGCATCACGCATGTGACGTCACGAATCAACAGCTCGCAGTAATTTGTATATTGTAGGTTTATAACCTACCAGGACGCGCGCCGAGTTGGACTCGTCGACGGTCCTGATATTTGGAACAAATATTTCACGATTATCAATCCGACACCCGTTAAGCAGTAATGGGAATATAATTGTATTAATAAAACGAAAAGTATATTAATTTTACCCAACAGACCTTACTTGTTACTGGCTTAAAATATTACGACAGGTGATGTTGACGGATGTTACTCGTCTAAATTTCTTCGAAGTAGCGCGCGCCGCTTTTTTCTCGATGGCAAGTTCTACGAAGTAGCGCGCGCCGGGCCACAGGCCAGATCATTAATAATGGTCAACAGGTGATGACGTCTTCACAGCTTGTTGAACTCCGCGCGCGCTCGTAAGTTGTAATTAAGTTCATTACATTTGCACGCTTCAAACATTCCAAGAATGCAATTGTACCACGTAATACTATTCAGCCAATCAAAGAACAAAAATCCGCAAAGTTAAAGCTGCGCACTTTTATAAAGCCCAAAATAATACTTTTTGCGATAATTCAAAATTTACGTTGTACGGTGTTTTTAAATTTTCCCTGGGGAAACGTTATTTTTACAAAGCAAACATTTTGTTGAAAACCAGACGTTTCAATCTCTTTTATTTTCGAAGTTAGGACCCTACCATAAGTAAGAGCAAGACCAATTAATTCTCAACGTCTAGGATCTGAATTCTATGTTAAAGAGTCCACCAAACCTCTATTCACAAAACACGAACTACTTGCTATAGAGAACCTATACAGATACCGTTGTTTAATGGAATTGTTTAAGATCATTAAGTCACGAGTACCAATTTCGTTATACTACCTATTCGGCTTATCAAATAGGAAAGATAATTTGTTAATCACGCCCTCTCCAACTAATCAATTTATGTACAAATCTGCATGGCTGTGGAACGAATTTCGTAAAGTTGGGCCGATGAATTTCACCTCCCCTTGCAGCTCTGTCAAGAATTTGCTTAAACAGTCACTTCTAAGAGCTCAAAACAGGTATGGAACTGATTGGTGTGACAAAAATTTCACTGAATTCTGAGTGAGAAGTGATACTTGCCTGTTATTCCCACTTACTGACTGATAATCTTATCTATGGATACCATGCTTGAATTTAGGTAAACAACATAGTACTTCCTCACCAGTCACGTTGAACGCGATCGCCGAATGATAAAACAATATGGGAATGAACGCGCACAGCATTGCGCGCTGATACTCTAAATACTGTGCGCGTTTCGTCCGGAACCTGGGGGAGTTCCCGCTCTAATATATCTGACGACAGTGATCACTCATTATGAGAACTAATTCCGACCACTTTCCCGGTCGAACAGTACCCAAATCAAACTAATTTATGAACCACGTGTATAGCCAACGTCCTTGCGGTGCTGAGCCGATGTAAAACTCTTCTGTCTCTTGTTAATATTTTAGTTGAACTGTGCATAAAAGTGTGTAGTGACAAGTGTGTAGTGGTAATGTATATTATTTATTATGACGACGCGATATTTATAATGCAGAATTAAAAGCTGCTTTCGATATGACTGGTGGTGGGCTCTCTCCGGCGGGACATAGATCTATATAGGGGGTACCCGGGGTACGAGTTAACGAACAGTGTTCGTGTCCTTCCACAACCCCCTGTTACCTGTGTTTCTGTCGGGGTAGCCTAGTTCATCCGTTAGAATCGCAGAGTTAGCGGAGCTCATGATATCTCGCGACGTATGCTGCATGAACGGTGCAAGACTTGCGCCGTTTGTTTCAGCATCCAGTTGCGAGTGCTTGCCCATCGAAAACATGATTAGTGATTGTGGATTTTATTGATATTACTGATTATCCATCATATTCAGTATTAATGTTATCCATTATTTATTTATTGACATCCTTCAGTCTCCAAAACGAGGTGTGAAGGTAAATTAACTTTGAGCCTTGTTTTGGCGACTGCTTAATCGATGGGCAAGTAGGTATTTGTTTTTTAGCAGTGTTGAACATTGAAACAATTATAAAATGTTTATTCTTATCTTATATAACGTACAATATGAATGACATATGCTATAGTGACGTAACATATATAGTGCAAAGAATTAGTAACTTGCGAGATGTGATTTAATGATAATCGACGTTAACATTTTGCAGTTTACAGTTGCACAATGTTGACGTCGATTGTTACTAACATTTATCTGAATTTAATACAAGTACATGTCACATATAAATTGGGTAGCTGAATGAAACTCGTGCCTCAAAATTTTCCGTTATTAGCATTGCAGTGTCCACGCCCTGTACTGCGTTAACGACCGAAATTTTCCCAATATGCAATTATTATTTTGCTTCTAAAATTCTCTGATAATTAATAATATATCGTGACATGTAATTGTAAAATAACAAACCTCGCGCGCGCGGCGCTTACATCTGCACCTGAGAATCTCTCAGCAATGTGTGGCTGTCTGCGCGGCGGGCTGTGTATTGTGTATATAGCTGAATTTAAATTTAGATTTATTTGTAAATGTATAATAATAATACCATTTTTGCGATTTTACAATCCAATTATAATTAGATTTTACAATCTAACTCATTTTTATGAATTATGCTATCAGCATGTCCTAAAGTGAACACTATGCGATGCTGAGCTTAAGGGGGCAGGGGGGGGTCTTTATGAAATTTCTCTCGAAATTGATTTTATAGTTGTTTCTGATAGAGGGGAGTGATATCTACCAGATGTTTTTGGTCCCATGGAAAAATTTTGTTCCTAGCCGAAATTATTGCCGGTCAAAGGTCAGCGCTTATGTGTAATTGTATTGCGCGAGCAATTTTCAATCGCGCGCCCTGAAAATCGAGTCTAAAAATCTATCTTCTCATACATTTTTTTAGCAATCACCTTGAAACTTTCAGGATATGTTCTAAGGACCATTTAGAAACTTCTGGTCTCTCAGAATTTTAAGATAGGCCTTGGAAACGTTTTTATTCGATTTTGAAAATCTTGGACCTGAAAAAATCGTCAAAAAACGAGGTCCAAGATTTTCAAAATCGAATAAAAACTTTTCTAAGGCCTATTTTAAAATTCTGAGAGACCAGAAGTTTCTAAATGGTCCTTAGAACATATCCTGAAAGTTTTAAGGTGATTGCTCAAAAAATGTAGGAGAAGATAGATTTTTAGACTCGATTTTCAGGGCGCGCGATTGAAAATCGCTCGCGCAATACAATTACACATAAGCGCTGACCTTTGACCGGCAATAATTTCGGCTAGGAACAATATTTTTCCATGGGACCAAAAACATCTGGTAGATATTACTCCCCTCTATCAGAAACAACTATAAAATCAATTTCGAGAGAAATTTCATAAAGACCCCCCCCTGCCCCCTTAAGCAACCTTTTCATTTTCTTGAAAACCTAATAACTTCTGAATACCTAAGACGATTAGCACATTTTCTTTGAAACAGACTATCGTATCATTTATATGTTTCAAGAACCCCCTTCAACTGAAGGCTTCAGTTGCTGAATGATTGCTATTTTTATGGACCATCCATATTCCATGAACATTATTATATGTGTCCATTATCATGTTAGTAACAGTGCAATTACTTCATTAATCACAAACTTTCGGTGCCTACCAGTTTACAGGCGATCTGTACATTACTCCACTGTTGTGCAGCTTGAACTGATCAGTTTATCGTGTACACAATAGACATGCATATCTGAATAATTCCTTGAGAAACTCCATGAGTCATTGCACATTACATACCTCGTGAACCTAACTGTTCACATATTACATAATCACTTTTTGGCCAATTTTTAACCCATCCCCTTCACAGGTTGAAAAATTCTGGGCCCTTTTGATAGCGACTGCGCATGCCCGCCGTAGCAAAAAGAGCACGCTGGTGCTGTCCACAATAAGTCACAAATATCTCCAAACAGAACTTTTTGTACACCTCTACGAAAATTTGAAATGATCTCAGCCCCTATGTATTCGAAATATGTGATGCTAATGAAGATGGGATAATAATCCCGGGTTCTTCCAAAAATTCAGACTTATCAGCCTCGTCAGGTGTTATTAAATCTAACCTTAAAAAGCACTATCCCTCCAACATCGAGATGACCCTAATACATGGTAATTGGTAACTAATCTATATTATATCTCAAATTCTACATCCGGTACGGCTCTGCACACATGATATCTCTCTCTGCCATGAAACATGGCTAACCTTTTAAACTATGATTTAAAAACTAAACCTAAAGTAAAACTCAACTGGGCTCTCCTGTGTCACCAAACTAAACCAATAAGTAATTTTAGATTATTATATTTTTCTATATTTGTATAATAAGTATATTGACGTAGTGGATGGTTGAGGGGGTTTCAAGCACAGGTAACTCTCAAATCCTAAAGATAAGCAGTGGCCTTCGGCACTTGAAACCTCTTCAAACCTCCCCTGATTTATTTATTATTTATATTGTTTGATTGTGCCGTAAAAATAAATATTTGTTTTATTAAAATATTTGTTTTATTAGTTATGTACCATGTGCTAACTGTTTTCTGGGATATGAGCAGTAGACCCACGAGTTAGTACCATCATACTCACTGTTTTTTGGGAGAAAAATGACCCACCCACCAACGGGATATCCCCCCCCCCCAGTATATTCTATTTATAAATAATTTGGAAAACATTTTTTCCTTCATAGTGCCACACAAATGAAACATTTGATCTCTTATGAACAAGCTTTAACGGATAATACACTACATTACACATTACACAATACACATTATACACTACACACTACATTATATTATAATGTATCTACTCTACACTATACTAATGTATCATGCTGTTTACAATTTCTTGAAAATAAGAAATATGTAAATTAACTGAACTTTTATTTCAAGGTAAAAACACCATTTAGAAACTTCTTTCATTCACCAATGAGCTTCAATCATTCTACTATTGAATGTAATCATGCACAACTCTTATGATTTTGTTTTACTAAAATCTTTGTTTTACTACAAGTATAGGGGGCCAAAAGTCTAATAATTCTTTCTATCATGGCATGGCTTGCTATCATATATCAAATAATATAATATAAGATTAAGAATGTTCATTTTTTCAGAATGAACATGTTTGAGGTTTTTTAGATATTTTTGAATGATTGGATTGTAATGGATTGTGTTCAGGCCTTTAAAATACACTTGTCTTGAAAAATGGGAGCTCTAGCAGCTAGCTATTCAGATGACCAATATATCAAGCAAAAATAGTCTATTCATTACTTGCGATCAGGTGTCAGGTGATTGGGTTGGCACTAGATCTGTGCTATGGGAATCATGCAGAATGACCGATTACGGTGTCTGTGCATGCTGTTACAAGATAATTGATAACCCAATCAATTTTGTTAACGAGATATAGGTGCGACCTCTAAAAATCAAATATTTGAATTTTGGCAACGGGATCCTGGTATGAACTTAGTTACAGCATATCATCTGCAAAGTTACAGGTAGAACCAATATGAAACATGGCTATTTTATAAGACTGTTATAAGACAACGTGTCTACTGACTTTTGGAAACTGCACCACTGTATTATTCATCTAAAAATATACTTTAAAATGTCCAATTGGCCAACAGATCCAGGCTTCAATCCTACTCACGTCAAAGTCTCGTTTTCTGGATATTATAATCAAGTCATAGAAATCTACTCCTCGCGTCATGGATCTTTTATTTAGACATTCCCCCTTTCTTTTACTTTTTCTGCTATCACCGCCAACACCGATTCTTGCCTCTTCAACGACACTCTTTTGTCCAGAGCTTTATTTATCGTATCCCCATCAGTTTTAGATCCACTCATTAGGTCTCCGAACATAATTCTGTCACATACAGCAGCAATCAACTTGTCATGTTTTGCTTGGTTTCTGGTATCTTTCATTGTGTGTTCTTGCTTCAACTTTGCTCGAAACCAGATCATGAAAGGGAAGGCGATGGGAACAAATGGAAATAGCAAAGGTTGTGCTCTGCTGTACTCCTGAAATATTCATCGTCAATTTCTCAAAAATATTTGTAATCTAGACTATACAACTATACAAATTGTACTCTATCTGTGTCAATCAGTTCTTATTAATCTCAAATTAATATATTTAATCTCAAATTAATATACAGGGTGGGCCAAAAGTCAGTGTGCAAACGTTGGCCTTAATAGCTCAGTCACTGAGTGCCCAATTGAAATAATTTGTTCTAGTATGACTTACTACCACCACTGGTTCGAGACATTTGTCAAATCGAAACATATTTGTGTTCATTTTTTTTTCAAAAGAAGGTTCATTTTCGCATTTATTTGATAGTTTGGATAATCGGATCGAGCCAAATTTTATTGAATTGTGTTTGGCCATTTAAATTACGTTTGCCCTGAAACAATGAGAGTTCTAGCTTCTCAGATGACCGAGATATAACCCTTAACGAGGTTATTCATTACGTGTGATCAGGTGATTGGTTTACCTAATCACGTGATTAGGTGACCCCGTTAACCACCCCGTTAAACATTATGGGAATCGTGAAGGCTGCCCAATTAAGGTGTCGTGTCGCGGTGTCACATTTATCACCCAGTCAATTTTGTTAATTAGATACAGAAAATGCTTGATAACTTCGTCATTTCTGATCCGTTTCGCCTCATATTTTCAGATCATATGCAACAGTTAATAATCTACCGTCTCTGAAAAAAAAGACATCTAGCATGTTCGGGGAGAACAATATAAGTGTTTTAATATTGAATGGGCGTGGTCTAAAATATTCGAATTTTCAAATTTTGGTGACGGAATCCTCGAACCAGTAGGTACAGTAAACCATCTGCAAAGCAACAACCCTCAAATATAAAACACGGCGGAGGTATAAGACCCAACGTTTGCACACTGACTTTTGGGCCACCCTGTATTTAAAACTAAGATGTAATTAACTGAAAATAATTACCTTGAGCAGTTTACTTTGTGCATATTTCCACTCGATATCACAGTTATCAATCACCCTGCTGAACGTGTTGCCCAGAATGGCAATTAGCATGTTCAGCAAGAGTATGCATGAAAGAAGAACGTACAGAATCATAATTAAAGTTATCAAGTATGTAGTCGGTTGATCCCCTGTTATCTTCAATTCCTGAAAATATTGCATCATATTATATCAGCCTTATTGTTACCTTAGCTATTTTGTGGGATCCACTTCATGTTCCAAATTATTCCAGTAATGTCCAAGTTACTATGATAAATAAGAATGTCACGTTGCATAGTACTTCCATGGCCTGCAGAAAGAGCAAAACGTTTCATATTGGTATAAACTTATAAAGATAAGCGAACCTATTAATCATAACATACCACAACATCAAAAAGTCCGAAAGTTGCCCAAAAGACGTTTCTAAAGGTTTCAAGGAAGTCGACAAAAGCATCTGGGACTTCTACTTTGTCGCACGTTAAAGACAACGTAGACAACTCCTTATTCCATTCATTCAGAGCAATAGTCATCGAGTAAATAGCTACAGTTGTTCCCAACATCACAATAACGAGTATCAAACCAAACCTCGCGGCATCGGCAATCAGATGCTTCAATGCTATCAACATAGTGCCTAGTGACTGGTGAATTTCTAGAAGACCGAGAAGCCGAAGTACCAAGACGAATTCTGCAACAGCATAGATATAGTTCACGTTCATAGAATCTTCATGTCGAAGTTTCTGTTTGACATTTTCGCACGAAAACGTATCGTTGTCACTGGTGTTTACAACATTTATGTAGCCCTTGTAAATAGCAGCTGTCACTATGAGTCCCAGGACGGTTGCGTCTACCATGTTCCAGAAATTGTTGTAATGTTTCATGAAGCCTTTTTGAATAAGTTGGTCAGCTTCCATGAGAATCCTAGCAAATACTGTGAAGTAAAGTATGTATTCGACATAGGTCACCTTGTATGATTCACCTCCTAGTCCTCCTGCTAAATCTTCCCCATTGAACGGGGTTAGGCAGGCAGCAATCATGACAACCGCAAAAATTATGTAATTTATTAGATCTGTTGCGAAGCACACACAAGGAACGGATATAAACCTCAATAGATTAGAAACAGATGACTTCATGAAAGGAACACCGCAGCACTCTTCATAAAAGAAGAACTTAAGAAAGAGTAATGGAAGCACTATTGGACTTGTCACGTACTTGAGTATCAGAACAGCCTTACCACGGAAAAATGTGCTATGAAATTTACCGTACCACTGTTCATTAATGATCTGCAAGTTGAATGGGTGAGAGACAAACTTTTTCTTACTTTGTCCTATTGCAGTTGAAAGCAGTTTATCGGACGATGTCAATATCTCCCTAGCTTCAAGCATGTTATCACAATGGCTCAGAAACTTGTACGCAAAAGAGTCTGCATCTTCAATGATTGACTCAAATTCAATTTCGAATTCCATCCTTTCATTCTTTATGCTTGTGATGTCCTTACAGACGTCGAAAGCTGTTTTGATGGGATCTTTACACTTAAGATAGACATCTCCTGCCAATAGAAATTTCAATGGCCTTATACTGAATTGGCCATTACGGGAATACTCTTTCAGATGCTTTTCTGACTCGCACCTCAACGGGGAAGTCAAAATTTGAACAGCAGGCATGAGATCTCCACCAGCCAAGAAGAGTGCATCAATGGTATCTCTGTCTCTTCGATATGCTGCTATGCTTAATGGTGTGTCTCCATCCTTATTGGCATGGTTAGGATTACCTCCGTACATGATTATAATTCGGACCATCTTGCAATCGACCTTAGCTGCCTTGATCAGTGGACTATCTTCATTTTCATCCTCCCAGTTGACAAAATTCAACTTAGAATAGTGTATAGGAGAGCAACCTATCTTTGGTGTGATTTCAACTTTGTGACCCATTTCTGCCAGAACCTTCTCCACCCCTGTATGGTCCCCTTCTTCTATCAAGGTGAATATCTTCTTTAAATCATGTCTTTCATGCAGATCATCTATGCTTTCCAATGCTGTAAGATTTAGGGATGTCTCTCCTACGTCTCCTTTTTGCATTTTAATTACTTTGCCTTATCCTCCTTCCTCGGACGTAAATTTAATTACAAATAAATTTATGGTATGAATGTAATGGCCACTCAAATTATTAAAACAACAGAATAATTTTTGCGGTAACAAAGGAAAATATTTAACAAGAGTAAATATCCAAGATTTTGGTGGCGATACCCAGAAAATCTACTGCAGGCAAATTAGTTCCGGATGTTCCCTTGATACTGATAAGTTCCAGGTATCAAACTTTGGGGTCGAAGTTGAATTTAAAATGGGAATTTTACTAGACTAATGCTTAATGCTCAGACAAGAAAACCAGATCATCTTGAGAAAATAGGAGGTAAGATGTGATACCTTATCTCTTTGCAATTATCATTGCTGTATAAGCCGACCTAGTACAGGGTGTCACAAACAAGTCAACCACGTGATCAGTGTTGATAGCTCAAGATCGGTTTATGGCATCCGGGAATATTTTCAGACTCTAGTTCAATGTGAGTGTGAAGTTTTTGACAAAATGTCGCTCATTTTTATGCTATCGGTATGTCCTTAATTGAAGACTGTGCGATGCTGAGCTTGAGAAACCTTTTAATTTTCTTGAAAACCTAATATCTGTTCCAAACCACACACAAGGAACAAATATCGACAGGAATAACCCCCTATAATAGTTGTCGCGATTTAAAAACTTAGACAAGGACAAACTTCGACCCTTGACAGATTGACAGCCTACGAAATCTCAAAATCTGTTTCATCGTAAATAGAAGATTTTAACCGAGGTAAGCTCACAGTAAATTAAACAACGAAGCAAATGTATTACATTTATCGAGGAAACGATGTAACAGAGTTGATATATTTTAATGTTACCATGGGGTGGCAAGTCCCCATTCATCATACCCTGATTATAGATTCACTGTATCCTAATCATATGCTAATCCATGGTACGCAATTCTGTCGCCAAAATGTTAAAGAAACCTATTTTCACTAAACCAAATCGGCCAGTCCTTTGGAATTGTGCCAGTCCTTTGGAATTGTGCTAAACTAGAAATAGGAAAATGTGAACCAGGTTCTTTGAGTAATAGCGTAAAAAGTAATTATTAGGCAACGTAAATTAGTTGATGAGAAGCATAATTGATCAGGCAGAATGAAGCGGTTTAATTAAGTAATTGAACAACTGAACAGTGAGCTTACAACTTCGGGGTACTCGAGGTAGCTTTTATAGAATGCACAATAAATGATGCAAACGCTATAAATATGACAGATCGCTTACAGATCGTTTGCAGATCGCGGTGCTCCCCATCTGGCAAAGAGTTAAGCTTATTATAAAATAACTAAACATTCATTCAACGCCTTATATCCGAGTTCATACATATTAAAATATCAAAATTTGTTATTTTATCCCACTGAGAATGCGAAAGTAGCAACTTTTGATTCTAAAGTTGCAAACACTTAGACAAGATTGGTGGGGCATTGACCAAGTACCCGGAAGGAATTAGACAGGAGCAAAAAGCTGAATAACCCCTGAAAAGCTACGACGCATTTTGAAAAGCATTTCTTATTAAAACTATCGTATCATTTACCGTAGATTGGGGTAAAATCGCCGTGTCGGGGAACTTCGCCACTATTTTTCAAATAATCATTTTACTGTTTTGAATTGTTAGGAGATCGAGTTTTTGTATAGTATTGTGTTGAACAAATGGTTATAAAGGTATTCCTATTCAAAAATAAACGTTTACTATGTTAATTAAACTCAGGCAACATGAAATATTGCTATAAAGTGGCTAAAATTTCCTGCTTGCATATTTCCCATATTTTACAATTATATCCTTAATTAATTCTGTGTGACATCATTAGCATATGTCCTGTTCATTTAAGGGCAAATTTAGTTAGCCATGATGCACACAACTGATATTATGAAGTTTTCAAATTTGTGTGTGGCGAAGTTACCCTCTTCTGATCCCATCTGTTCGGCGAAGTTTGGCGCGAAATTCGCGCGCGGCTGGCAAAGTCACGCACGTGTATTGGCGAAGTTCGACTACATTTCTACTTCATCCCGGCGATGTTACCCGCAGCATGGCGATGTTACCCCGGCGACCAAATTGCCCATTGTAACACGCAGGCTAGAGATAGATAAGTAAAATTGGCAGGTATATCAAGGAAATATAATTGAGTTTCGAGTGGTATGGTGCTTAGCACCGAATATGGTATAGTTTCAGAATGGCGAAGTTACCCCATATTGCAGGGTAACTTCGCCCTGATTTCAGTGGCACCAATCTAGCTGACTATTTATGCCTGGCTGATGTGGTTCATACGAAAACATTTGCTTTACTAATCCTGTTCATATGAGCTATAAACTTTTTCAAGTACTCGTGTCGTATTTTCTAAATAACATGAAATAGCTGTAAAACATGGCGAAGTTCCCCCATTCTACGGTATGTTTCAAAAACCCCTTCATTTACAGTTTATGGACTATCCATATTCCATGAACATTATTATACGTATCCAGTGATCATCTAGCAGTGTAATTACTTCAATAATCACAAACTTTCCAGGGAGCTGTATACTAGATAAATAACAATCCACTGTTGTGCACACGATAGACATAAATATCCGAATAATTCCTTGAGAAATTCCATGAGGCATTACCCATTTCATATCTCGTGAACTTAGAATTTCTGAATTATTTGTTGTATACAATAGAATATGATACCGAATACCGATAAATTATTGATAAAAGACAGTTACAGAAACTCACATACAATCTTTTATCTATATTATATGTGCATTGTACAAGCTTCTTAGATGTTTTTTTGGATTGATAACAACGCTCCATGTTAACTTCATATTGTTAAACGATTGGGGCCTTTTCTGTCAGGTTATCTGCAGTGTGGCTGGTATGCAAAAATTACCATTAAAATCGCTTTTCTACGTAATTTCTGATTTGATTTGACAACTTATAAGTTATTAATCAAGTATCTCGTTCCCTTGAATTGCGGTCAGAGCACTTATGTTCACAGTTGCAGTTTCAACTGGAGCCCGATCATACTCTGGTCTGATTCATGTTCAGACTTATTATTTCTACGACTATTTTTTCAATGACCTGTATTTGCCACCTTATATTTGCTCATAATTAAAGTTCTGACCATGACTAATTTGATTTACGAATGAGCTGAAGATTTTAAACTATTTTCACAACTACAACTTAATACATGTATTGAGGAATCCAGGAAATGTCGAGGGATGATCAAGCTGAAGATTACCAAATGGTTGAAGACGGTTATCTTAGCGAACAATTCGTGAAAAGGTTGACGGGGGACTTTGATCTTACTTGCGTCATTCACATTCATGCTAAAAACACAGGAATAGAGAACCTGGGTTGTGTTTACATGTGCGAGAATCTGGTATCTCTAGACGTCGGTTACAACCGGGTCAAGGACCTATCACCGCTTTTCAAACTGCAAAGTCTACAACTATTGGATCTAAGTAACAACAAATTAACCTCTTTGAAGGGTCTAGAGTACATGCCAACTCTATCTTCCCTGAACATCAGCGGAAATGAACTTTCAAGTCTGGAATCACTAAAGCTGTTGGAGACAATTCCCAATTTAAGGAAGCTGATTCTGAGAGATGGTAACATAAGTAACCCTGTCTGCCATCTGAACTCTTATCCTAATAAACTGAAAGCATTGTTACCTGACCTTACCATGCTGGATTTCAGATACTTGAAGGGGGAGCTTTCAAGCACCTTTAGGAGTCTTGACGAAATAGACTCATCTCTGAGAGAAGATAAAGTTTCGATACAAGATATCCCACCCAGTAGACCGGTTGTCTCCCCTTCTTTTTGGGAGGAGGATTTCTTTGATGACCTGGACCTGAACATGAAAATCAGATATCTGAAAGAAACTCTGAACACGGTGTACGTGGAGAAGTATAGGATGGAGGAGACGATGGCGGTGCTGGAGGAAGAGGATAAGCAGACTTTGCAGCGGTTAGCTTCTCAACTTAAGTGTTCGCCTGAACAGGACAAACCCCCCTCATCTTAGCTCGTCTAGTACTGAACAGGACAACCCCCCTCATCTTAGCTCGTCGGATCTTAACTGTGGTTGACCAACAAATTTTCTTGACCAATGACCATGTACAGTCAAATCAGTTTAGTGTTGCACAAGGTTTGACCGACAAACAGTTTCTTAAATTATTATTGTGAAAATGGTTACTCAGATTTAAAGGTGCAGTCAATCTCATAAATATTATGTGTAATATTTGTTCAATCTTGGTAATATTTTCATAACAGCAAACTTGACAGTAAAAGATATATTATCTGTAAAATCAAGCGCAATCTCTTTGCATGACTGAGTTCTAATATTATCAGCCATAATTCATAATTGATTATTAAGAAATGTTAAATAGTGTTTTGTCAGTGTCAGACTATACTTCTGCTCCTTTTATGTTTCAATTGTAGGAAACTTCTGACCATAATTATATTCACTTTAAAATCAGTTTGATCTAGGAAAATATTGAGGAAAAATAAAATTTGTATCAAGCTGCTGAATTTTCACTAAGTAATTTTTCGATTTGAATAACCACGGCGGAGTCACATTGAACAAAATGAAACTACTCCTTGAACTTAGACATAAATCGTGAAAAGTTAAATTTTAAGTTACCATGAATTAAAACTCAAATCTAATTTAATATTATCGAATCACACTTTCTCAGTGTTTTCAACAAGCTTCAACTGCGTCATTTTCCACTACATCTGGATTATCTTCTTTACTGCTCCGTTTTAATTCAGTCCCATTGTCTTCAATGACAACATAGTCAGCAATGTTGTAGAATTTCAGTGCTAACGGAAACGAAATCATTGCTTCAACACAAATGGCAAACGCAACACAATTGCGAACTCTGAGACCAGCGGGCCATATTTCGTTGTATTTGAAGTCTTCATCCGTGATAACGTCATGATGAACCAGAGTGCCGAAGAGCAGGTCTTGGAATTTTGCCAGCAGAGTAAAGATCTTGTAAACGAGGAATTTCTTGACTATACCTCTGTGGCCGAGTAGCTCCTCTGCGCTGTGGTAAATTCCGGACAGACCATATATGGCAAAGAAGAGTAAAACTATCAAGAGAACGTGATAGATTGCTCCGAATGTACCCGATATCACGTGAGCACCCTTATCTGGGTTTGGGTACCCATCACCAGCATCAAGCATCATAATCAACTCTAGAAACCCAACTCCCAGACAGTACACTGCATACAGGCCGATCAGAAATTCACAGAAAATGAAGAACTTCCGAGTGAATTTCACCTGGGGTAAGCAAACCAAACAGCACAGAGGAGGAACGTTAATATGCATGTGAGCACCTTTCAAGGTAGACTTGGTAGCTTTCTTCCCTCCCATATAAGTGAAGAGAAGTCGTAGGAAGAAGAGAAACGTCAGAGCCTCCAACCCTTCCGACAAGAACACAGTTACTTCATGAGATTTAGGTACTATCATACCAATGAGCTGCATAAAGCAGAAGAAAGGGTAAACTTGGAGGATACCAATAGTGCACATGAACTGAATGGGGAACTTGGTGGAGTACTTCTTGTGTTGGATAAATGCCCAAATGTCCAGGACTATCATTGCGAGGGTCATGGCTGTTGCGATTATGATGAAGGGGAGCCATTCTGGGGGGTAACCTTTCTCGAGGATCTCGCTGAATGAAGGAGAGGGTTCACCCATACCTAGAGAATATTGGGGTTAGATAACAATGAATAAACTTTCGACAGAGATAATTTTCAGCCTGAACATAACAACGGAATGACAAATTGGCCGTACTTTATAATAAATCGTGTCGGCTCTGAAATGCCAACAATATTTACTACACAGTACAGGAGAAACTGTTATGATACTGATCACTGATGCTGATGCACCAGTACCATGCACCTTGCAGCATCAACATGTATTGCAATTTGTAGAATAAAAACATCTTTTATTGCTTGTTGACAGAGTCAATTTGTTAAAAGTAAAATTAATAACTAAAAGTACAGAAAAGCTTATTTGACTAGTGGAAACTAATTAATATAGACGACGGAATTGTCAAATAAAAATCCGCCAAACTAATCAAATGACCTGCTCAGTCATCTTATTAAAAAATTGAAACCTTTCATATTCATCTCCATATAAATTCTGTGAACACTTTGACGGTGCCTTTTGGAAAATATTTTCCCGTCAATTAAGTAAGTGAGTTGTTATATTTAACCTAATTATGTAAATAAACCTAACTCTCTCTTTTCAAAGTAAAGCGATGGTTGACTATTTCTTCGCCAGTTCTCTCAAGACATCTCTTGAAGATACCTACAATGTCGGTGAACCTTGCTCTAGGTATGAAATATTCCTTAAAGCTACAACAACCTTGTTGAAAACCTTGTTGTATTTACTGTTTTAAGGCACGGTAAATCACCTAGAGATTGTTGACAGACAAATCATTTCAGTGGTCCACTTTCAGTGGTGCACGGTGCGGAGAACAAGCATACCAAGAGTTCCTACGTTGTAAAGAAGATTGCTAAAAATGTAAGTTTTTTCTTCGGCACGTTTTTTTCAAAGTTTGATGGGGACTGCCGGACCTTTCAGAATTGCATGTAAATAATTCAAGTTTCAATATAAAATATTGTTATAAATCATGTCATTATGTGTCTGTTTTTATTTGCTAGAAATATCTAGCCATAAATAGTCCGCCCGTATTTGATTAATTGGAGGAATGCCAAGTATTCGTACCTTGCTCACAAATCGATTTCAAGTCCTAAAAACATAGTACGGAAACTTTTTCAATTCGCAATGAAAGTCACGATTCTGCCTGCTAAAGATCAGCAATAACCACATTTACTTACTAAAGTTCTAAGCACAGTACGTGAAGGACATGTTGACTCTCGCGATCAGATATATAGAGCCTCCCCCAGCCTCGTATCTTAGGATTAGATTTGCAAAAATTCCTGAGACACAGGTGCAAAAGTTAAGACAGCAGAATAATCCTAAAACAGCAGAATAATCCTAAGACAAAATTTAAGCAATTCTGAGACAGCGAAAAATCCTGAGACAAAATTTAAGAAATCCCGAGACAGCGAAAAAACCTGAGACAAAATTTAAGAAATCCCGAGACAGCGAAAAAACCTGAGACAAAATTTAAGAAATCCCAAGACAGCGAAAAAACCTGAGACAAAATTTAAGAAACCTGAGACGCGCGAAAAAACCTGAGACAAAATTTAAGAAATCCCGAGACAGCAAAAAATCCTGAGACAAAATTTAAGAAAACCTGAGACAGCGACAAATCCTGAGACAAAATTTAAGAAAACCTGAGACAGCGAAAAATCTTTAGATAGAATTTATACAATAACCACAAGAATATACATGGATATTACATCTTTTTATTTCTTTCAAAGAATATAATAAATACAATATTACTAGGTATAGTAGGAATGTCAATAAGTCAATAGAATTTGTCTGAAATCTCTATGTGCCTGCTAATGAAGTGAGTATCCTAGATCATATCTTTACAGGTAGGACCCCCCCCCCCCTTACCCCTCCTTAATCTGATTAAAAGCTACAAAAACTTCCAGAAATGAGATGGCTGGTTAAAACCTACCTTTGGAAAGCTCTGATGAACCTGCCCGTGGAGAAATTAACACACTTAACTTCACCTCAATTGAGCAATAAATGCCTATTTATCGCTTATTACTTCATTTATTTTGGATGTACAGTGTGCTTCGTAACTAATTATAATTATTATAATATATCAGTAAATGTGTAAGATACTATACCTGAGTGATTACTCCGAACTTTCTAAAAAGCTACAAAGTTAACTTTCTAATAAGCTACGTTGTAGCTGCTACAACGACAACTAATCTTTCGTTTTACTCCCTACTGTACTAGTTTACTCGTCAATCCAGGTATATGACTATGAGAATGGTCTTGAAACTCTGAAAAGAGGGAAGCAGTTTTGGGGACGGGGAGATTGAAGCGGGTGGGCGACAAATGAACCCCCCCCCCCTATTGTAAGCCCCCGGCTTACAATTGACCCCCATGCAATTACACTGAGTCAATTGATCTCAGTATAATAATTTGGGGGTTAATTGTCGGGGGGTCAAGTGTCGGGGGGTTAATTTTCGTACTAAGCCCTAGATTGTACCTGCTAATGAGGTGAATATCCCAGATCATAGCTTTACAGGTAGGCCTGTATAATAGAACCCTGATGTTAAAGCGGACATCACCTTCCCCTCCCTAATGTCTGATTGAAAGATTCCTTTCTTAATGTACGAATAAGAAACCAAGAATTTTTACTAGTACTATCTTTGTATCTTTAATACACTATCTACTTATTGACTAGCTAGGCTTGCTAAAATTCATCGGCAAATTACCGCTGCTCGAGTTACCTAGCCAGGCCCATTTCAGTTTTGAGTACTGGAGTCGGTTATCTACAAAGTAGAGTCAAAGCCTAGCTTTTTTGTAACTGGCAAGTGCTTTTCCGGATTCAATTTTCAAATAGTCGTGTATTTTCAGATTATTCTTCATTATGTCCTCAATCCTGAGCACTGGGACTATTTAAGTTTTTGCTACTATCTGAATTATTTGCTCAAGCTACTGCCACTGGCTCGCTAGGTACAAAGGTTTATTTCCTATTTATCATGAAAAAATTTGTGTGCTGGGCTAAAGTTTACTTGGCGTTCACGCAGGTTTGAACTCCCGACCTCGTGCAGAGCTAGTCAATCGCCTACCTTACAAGACATTTTTGTGGCGGACCAATTTGCGACGACCGAAATTTTGGCGGTCCGAAAATATGGCGAAATTGAACAAAAACCGTCACATTTCGGACGTCACAGAAAATAAGGGTATTTTTCATCATTTTGTTTTCTGACACAAAGCTAAAGGAAATTCAAACTTTTCTAAAAATCGGTAAAATCATGTTGAAACAAAATGAAACTTATAAATCGATTTCTTCATCTTCCTCTAAGGGGTCCGGCTCGACTCTTTCAGTTTCACTTATTGAGTTTGGTATTAAATTGTTTATCTTGACTTAGTCTCTTATAAGACGTTTATGTTAGCACATAAATGTAATTTATTGTAAATTTAAAACGTATTACTTGACATTAAATTCATCATGGAATATTGTGTTTATTTGTCCCACCATCATATCACTAACTTTTCAAGAACAAAATGAATCGATGAAGCCACAATTATTGGAATAAGCTAAAAATAATGCGACGGATTCTATTACGACGACCGAAATTTTGGCGGTCCGAAAATATGGCGAAATTTCGGGAAAACCGTCGCATTTCGTACGTTATAAAAATGTCTTGTAAGGTAGCTGCTGAGCTACTCGGGTGATACTCCATTAAAATTTTCGATGTACATATTTATCGCATACAATCCTCTATTTTGAGTTTGTCATAATTGTAATCGGGAAGTGGGAACATAAACAACTCTTCTGCATCTAATTGGAACTGTCTGTACTGTGTACACGATAAAACACATAAGATAAATGGGCTTATTTCAAAACTATAGAATGTTACGGTGTGACAATTTTACCCATTTTTTCCGAAAAATGTCCAAGAAAACAGGTTCATTATTGGTTAAATTATGTTTCTAAGGCTTTTCAAACCTACGATTTACATATCTGCCAAAGATAATAGTGAGAAATCAATCCGTTTTTGAGTAATTAAAAGTCGAAATTTCGTTACGGAGTGACTAGATAAATTTTCAGATTTTGGTACACCCTTATTCTGACCTTATTTTTATCTCAGATATTCTTGAAAGTTGCATTTTGACGGCTTCCAGGCACTTTTCAGACATTTTCCTTCAATAATTAATCAAGAAAAAGTGTGTATTGCCTAAGGAATAAAAAATTTGAGGCTTCAAAAATTTTGGGGATTGTTACGGAGTGACTGTTACGGAGTGACGCATCAAACAGTCTCTCATTCCACTCGAATTTTTCATCATTTTTCATCCTGTTCCTGGCTCTAAATAGTAGAATTCTTTTCAAAATTAGATAGATAACACTTAAACAAGGTAGACACACAAATTTATTGATGTGAAATAAATCAAATCTGGTACAATTCATTAGTCTTGATCACAATTATGAATAAAAATACGATCATGTGATAAAAAATCAACCCTGGAGCTTACAACTCTGTAAATTTCCCTTAAAATACAGCACATTTAAATCACTGTTTGAAAAATATAAACAATTGCATAAAAATCAGTCTCATTGGTTTAACTTTCTACAAATATTACTCGGTTAAGAATCTGTTACAGAGTGACATTTCATAATGAAATGTTTAAAAATCTGGGCTTATTTGTTTAAAGTTATAAACTGTACAATGTACACAGATTAACGAAAATTCAAACCTTTACACCCCACTTATAAGCAAGTTCAGGTACTTCAAACTCTATTCTTCTCCCTGTTCCCGGCAAAAGCTTCGGCATACCAATAGCTCCTTTCACGTCACTAAGTTCGTAATCATGGACGTCCTCTTTGTCAGGCCATTTCCAGATTGATCCAGGTTTTCCAGCTGGTACAAGGCACTTAACGGTAAGGTTACTGCTGTCTGGCTTGCCAATAACTTTTCCTGGGTAAAGTTCACCCTCCCAGTTAACAATCACGAATTGATCAATGTTGTAAGTTTCACAGCTGTTAGAAGATGATGGTGTTTCCTCCTCTCCAATAACTGTTGTTGAAGTCGTCTGAGCAGATGATTCATCGGCATACTCTATCTTCTTTATCAAAGATCCATCAACTGACGTGTCCCTAAAGGTGAGGATGCAGCTGTTATCTGTGAAAGAACGGACAATGTGGTGCACTTTCAAGGTTCCTGGAACTGGTCTTGCTTTCCTTCTGCACTCCTCTTCCATACCTGATCATTAAGTTTGATGCTTTCAAACAGGACTGGATCATTTTTTTCAGCTGTCCTCCTATAGTTTGACTTTCTCAAAGCATCTTTCCTCTTGTAGTCTGCCCACTTAACAGGATCCATCTTCTTTTTCTCTCTACATATACGAGCCCTCCCTTTCCCCATCAAAGCCATGTCGTAAGGTAAATCAGAAATTAGCAACTGATTAATCAGTTGCTAATTTCTGAATTGCTAAATCATGATTTAGCAACTAAGATGGTGTACTATAGTTAATAGTACAGGCTATAGTTAATAGCCCAGTCTATAGTTAATAGACTTCAATGTGTGTGTGTTTGATATATACTAAGATGGTGTACTATAGTTAATAGTACACTTGAAATAGCATAAAGATGTGATCAGGTCATGCTGCAACTTATCCAAAAATACGTGATCTTTCCTTGTGTTTCGGCTCATATCCCAATAGCCCCAGGCACCATGCTCCAGGTAGAGCGTAATTATGTGATTACATAATTACAAGGTCAATAACAACTGTAAATCTTGAAATGTCAATAAAAAAATTCGTTACGGAGTGACAATGTCCCTTGAATTTGTCACTCCGTAACACAGCGTTACGGAGTGACCAAAGTTTGGCTCATCATATCTCCTCTTAAATAATAATGTTATCAATCG